TTATTCAAAAGCATAAATTAAAATATAGTTCTATGATTCTGGAATCCATAGGTGTCAGAGACATACAATTTACAAAAACACGCACACAACTTTTGAACAACTTGGACTTACCTTGTTCTCCATTGATTTTCTTCCAAATTTCCATCAATCCAAGCTTTCCTAATGGAAATCTAATGAAATCAAACTTTAACACAACCTTAAAACTGTAATTATCCACAGAAAAAAGAAGAATATAAAGGCTCCAAACCTGGACTACTGTTCTCCAAAATAAAGGGCTTCAAGTAATCAAACCTACTACTGCATCTGATTTTTATTTCTTTTTTCTTTTTCTTTCTATTCTAAAAACTCCACTTAGTATCAGTCTTTCTCACAGCTGTTATTTGATCAAATTATATCCCTTGAAGCCAAAGCCTACTATAAACATAAAGAGTCTAAATTTTAGTTAAAAAAAAAAAAGAAAAGAAAAAGAAACATCACGTTTCATTCGTTGTATGTGTGCTTTTTTAAACTTCCAAGTGTTCAAACTAGTTTATATACATATCCATCAATTTCATTGTGACAATTGTCTACAACTTTTTCCTCTTGGAAAATCATGACACAGGTGATGTGACCACCATGGTTTAAATCTATAACCTCAAAAACATCTTTGCTTTTTTTTTCTTTTTTTTTTTTTTTGGATAATAAAGCTCCCCTATATCTAGGGACACTCACACCCGAATCCAGGAGACATTAAAGAGTTTTTTGTATTAAGCTCACCGAAATGTTCAAACTTGAGACCTCTAAGCYAGTATGACCAAGAAGCACCAAGCTCTTGCACCAAAAATATATTCGTTTCTAGGATGCCTCTTTTAACTACTTAGGTAACCCAAGGTGGTTTATTGTGTTGCTTTTTGTTTCATCTCTACTTCAATAAATAAGTTAACGAGTGGTGAATGATCACATTTTGTTTCCACTAGCTTACTCAAATAATGTTTTGATAAAAGTTTTCTTTAAGTTCATAAAAGAAAAAACAAATGTAGGAGTTTTTCAATTCATCACTTGTAACGCCCCAGGCCCAGGATTCGATATCCGGATTTGACCCTAATAGCCCTGACATTCCCCTGCATCCCGGCCGCGCCACCGTTTAGTTTTGAGCTACTTAGAACGCTTAACTTTGAAGTTCTTATAATTGAGTTACCGAAAAGAAAGGTGCACATTGTCAGTATAGGTAGTGACTATTATTTCTTTTAAGCCTTTCTTGACCATTCTTCCATGATCTCAGGATCCCTCTCATTCGGATGTGGTATCGGTTCATTCATGTACCCATTTTCTCTACTTGGGTGTCACATCACCAGAGCAATTCTTCACTAGGAAATAACTTAAACCAGTAATATGCCTTAAGCCAGACCTTATGGAAATTTAGGGAAATAATATTAAAATATTATGCATCAAACATCACCTTCCAAATAATAATTCTCAGCATATCAACTTAGTACAACTGAGATCTTGACAATAATTCTTAGCTAAGTTGAAGTATCGAAATGCATATACTAAATTAGGAAGCTTCAATAATTCAAACAAAGGTCACCAACAAAATCCAGAAATATTTCTAATGCTATAAAATATCAAGGTGGACGATAGGCATGAAAAAGGAAAAAGAAAAAGAATAATAAGAGTGCCAAGTCTCTAGAAAAAGCATGCCAAGAAGCCTTTTCCCAACTCAAGGGTCAAAAATACTTTTTCTTTACACACTTTCACTTTCTACGTCATTACTATCTGTCCGTTCTATAACTGATCGGTGTAAGGTTGAGCTTTACAATGGCAGTGATTTCGTAGTATGGAGACAACTAAGTTGCTCAACTTTATCACTACCTCAAAGATTTAGACCTTTTATTTTATTTTCGTGTCAGTTTTGCCAAAAACAATGACCACGAAGAACCATACAACATATTCCAAATTAAACAGGAGGCCAACAAAACATATGCAAGTTTACAGCATACTGAACCTATTAGTGATAACATAATATACATTCCAAAAGGAGTAAGATCTAATATTCATTGAGAAATTTGTTACCATTGTTATCAATCAGCTTGTAGCACACTGAGGACTTAATCATAAACTTCAGCCTCTTTCTCCAAGACTCCTTTCCCTACATTCAGTAAAACCAAGCTCTCAGCATAAGTATCTAAACAGAAAGAATCTTCAGCACCATAAACTCCAAGACCCTTCATAAGCTGGTTTTCTAGTTTGTACAAAACTACTTCTCCACTTTTAGATGCCATTAGCATCTCTCCATTTTCCCTTAGTCCCAACACCATACCAACCTCCTGTGATGGATCAAAGCTGATTAATTCAGTCCAAGACTCGGTTATGTCCTATTTTTGCAGCAACCAAACAGAAGACACATAATTACTACCATAACGATACCAGACATACAACATGATTGAAAGTGCTCCTCCTAGCACAGCAACTTTCAAGTCACAGGGTGAGCAATTAACCAAACATTCTGGGAAATCTATTATACTGAAGCACTCCTCAACTATATCAAACCTCAAAATGAAACACCTATAACCTGTGCCATTTTCCCTGTAAGCAACCCAATGGACAACCCCATTCACAAATGCTTGCCTCCATTCCGACTTAACCATTTGGCAGCAAGGAGCTTCGTTGCCAGTCACTCTCCATGAACCTGTTCCAAGCTCATATAACTCAACTTTAGGAGATTTTTTATCATCGAAATACAACAATCTAACCACCTTGTAGTCGCTGGCACAAGAATCAAAGCCGAATCCAAGTGCACATTTACCTGGGGCGCAATACTTGGTGATAATATCGCTAGGAAGTGCTACAACTCTTCGAATTGATGGGTTCCACAAGAAAATGTTGAACCCCAACAAGCAAACCAATCCATTGCAAATACCAACCAACTTAAAATTTCCATTCCAACTGACGAACGGGAATCTGAATACCTGGTATAGATCCAATGTCTCTGTATCGAAATGAAGCGAATAGCTGCTCTTTTTTATTGCTTCCGGTAGCGTCACACCGCCGGAGAAGCAGGAATTTCTTGTTGTAGGTTGAAGTCCCGCCAAGGTGGGCGGTGATGAAAATTGGACAAGCGATGAGAGAGTGCCATGATTTTGAGACGCATGAACAGAAAAGAAGGGTTTTTGGAGAGAGTTTTAGAAAGATGTTAAATAGAACTTCCTCTGGAAGATAGCCTGCCATTGCAAAGATCCAAGGACCATTGAACAGAGATTCAATGAAAATAGTTGTTTAATCGAGAAGAAACCTGTAAATTTTCGAAGGGCAATTCGCGCCGATTTTGGAGAAGAAGATGAACAGGGATGCCAACGGTGGGAAGGGTTATTGAGCTTTTGATTACTTCAAAACGTCCCTTCATAAAATAGAATTACCAAGTTTAGTTTTTTTTTTTTTTTTTTTGAAAAAGATTACCAAGTTTAGTTAGTCTTAATAAGTGTTTAAAATGTATATTAAAACTTTAAACTTTTCAAGTTTAAAATGATCAAAATAAACAAAATCTAAAAATACARTAATAAAAATAGTATTTTAATCTAAATTTAATGTAGTACATGCCATAAGGATCAAAATAAACAAAATCTAAAATTAGAGTAACAAAAATAGTATTTTAATCTAAATTTAATGTAGTAGATGCCATAAAATTAATGGAGGATATTGAAAAATGTTAAGTTATTAGTACATCTAACTCTGTTCTCTTTGACAAATTTTAACCTATTTTGAGAAATTAGAATAAGCATTATTCCGCCGCTAGGTTTGTAAAAATACACACAGAAGATGAAGGGACATTCGTAGGCTGCTCACTATCGATCATGTCGTCGACGTTCATGGGCTGCTTGCTGCTGATCGTTGATGGACGTCAATCGACGAGTTCATGGGCGGTTGTTTGTGGAGCATTGTCAAAGGTTGTAAATCTAGTTTGAGTGTCACAGGTTGTCTTCTTAAGCTGTGTTGACGTTGCTATAGAGTCGCCGAAGGAGGAAATAACCGCTGATTTGAGTCGTCAGGGAGATACGTTGTCATGGCACCATGGATCATCACTAGGGTCTTCTTGGTCAGCCGTTGAGATATTGCAGTCATTGAAGGTCATCGTTAGTCTAGTCTATATTATGTTGTTATCGAGTATATGTTGAGTTATATCATTATGGAAGGTCATCGTTGGCGAGGAGAGTCTATATTATATTGTTATTGGCGAGGAGAGTCTATATTATATTGTTATCGAGTATATGTTGAGTTATATTATTATGGAGTATATGTTGGATATATATTTTATATAGGTATATGACATCTATTTTGGATATATACAACATATCATATATTTTAAGATGTATATTATATAACCTAATATTTTTGTATCTAACATTAGACAAATATATGTTCATTATACTATAGAGCATATTAAAAAGCCAATGCCCACAATATTGTGACATTTGAATCTAGAGAAAAATTGAAAAAATTATGAAGAATTTGGGAAACTTTTTAATACCCATCATCCACAATAGTGGAAATTTTTTAATAGATAGTAAATCTATATTATTCAAATACAAAATAAAAGATTTAACCTTTAATATAAATTTTCTATATTAATTAATAATTATTGTTAATTAATATAGAATCTTAATTGTAAATACAATATTAATCGTAAATGGAAAATAATTATATTAAAAGTTATATAATAAATGTAACCGTTGGTATTAATTAAAGGTGATTTGAGGAACAAAAATTGTAATTCAAATCTCGAAATCTAGATTTGTAAATAATTACAATAATAGACATTTATGAAATATCATGTAGTCGCTAGAGACAATTTAATCTCAAACTATTATAATTCCTCCAAAAGACAAAGTGAAACTATTATAATCAATTTGGATTTGATTCAACATGTTCTCGTGTGAAAGTTGAATACCTAGAGCAATGGTGGAATAGGATTTCAAGGTGAGCGTAAGACCTGCACAAGAGAAGAAGCAAGCTCTGATGCTCAAGTTAGTAGAATTTGTTCTCTAAACCAGCAATCAAGAATTGCATACCTACCTTTGAAGGATGCTTCTATATTTAATTTCAGATTAAGTTACGAAAAAGTTCTAATTTATGGGTAAATAACCCTATTCATCCCGTCTAGTGAAGTCATATGATTCTATAATTGGTATTAGAGTCCAATGATATATCGCTATGTAACAGAAACAAACATATAACTTAAATTCTTTTCTCTAACCACATGAAGTAAAATGCAAAAAGCAAGATTTATAAGTTATAACCATCTAAATAAAAGTTTAAGATATCAAGCACCTGATTTATAAGTTATAACCATCTAAATAAAAGGTTACATTTTCAAAACTCAAACTAAAAAGCAAGATTCATCCATCAAAGCACATTAGAAATTTATGTAGACATAGTTCATCCAAAAAAGAAAACAAACAAACAAGAGAATCCAACCACTTTCAGTAAATTAGTCAACAGGTTCGATTCGGATAAACTTTGTTGGAGATTTGAAACAACAAACACCTAATTCAGAAACAAGGTCTCGAGTCTCATGACTTGATTTTTACACTAATCTGAAACTTTTAATCACAAACACAGTCCACTCTAATCTTACCTATATTTCTTGATTGAACTATCCAAAAAAAGTTCAAATTAAGATGGCTTACACAAGCTCCATTGATTCAGGCAAGGTCAAATTCTGGGTTCAAAGCTATTACATGAGTGTGTAGTTTCAGATCTTCAAAAGGCTTTTTCTATGGTTCTTAACTTCAACTTACACAAGCTCAATTGATTCATTTCACTACAAAATTTCCAGATTCAGACCAAGAATAAGGTTATACCCTTTGTCCTTTCCTTCCTGTAGAATTTGTGCCTGCTTCCAACCTCATGTCTTTTGAAATGCCAATCCAAATGAAATGATTTCTTTTTCAAGATTCATGTTTTCTAGTCTATTTTGATCTTCCAGAACCCGCCATCCCCAGAAACAGCATAAGAATCGCAAAAATTAACACAAGTCAGACTTCTCAAACTGAACCTCAAAACTGCCATTTTTAAGAATATACATCATCAGATAAAACTTCTCAACTACAGATGCTTTTTAAGTACTTTCACTAAATTCTTAATTTTAACTGCTCATCAATTTCCTAGTGTTTTTGGTTCAAATACTGATGGAATTCCTGGTTTAGATGAAAACCAGGTTGCTACATGAGCATAATAGAAATGATAGAATCCAAATAACTAAAATAGATTGAAACATAAAAGGATAGAAGGATTGTAATAATCTCCAAGTCGTTCGAGATACTTGGACCCTCCCTCTTGAGATCACTCAAGCCTAAACCACATTCACTAATTACCTACCTTCATCATTTCTCCCTCACTCTGTTGAACTAGAACCTTACACAACTTTTAGTCCATAAATCCAGATTAAGAACTTCTTTTTTTGCTACACTCTTTTATTTAAATAACAAAAATAATAAATATTTATTTCCAGTATTAGGTAATTAAGGAATACTCAGAATAATCACAGCAATGCCTGCTTTACAGAACGCTCACAGAATTGCAATTTTTTAACTTGGATTTACCTTGTTCTCCTTTGATTTTCTTCCAAATTTACGGTTGATCCAAGCTTTCCTAATAGAATCAAATCTAATTAAACATGAATACAACCTTAGACGTGTAACTACCCACAGAAAAGAGAAAAAAAAAAGAATAATATAAGCTTTGGCTTTCAAGTAATCAAACCTACTTTTGCTTCTTATTTCTATTTTTCTGTTCAAGTCATAAAACCAGCACGAACGGCCTCCCATAGCTCTTAGGAAGCAATGAAAACTAGAAGTTGTAGTGTGAAGAGTCTTAAGTTCGAGACAAAGTAGAGAGAGCTTGCATATCCTTGGGAATTTAGTTCCTTTCCATACTAAAACTCCACCTAGTATCAGTCTTTTCACACTTGTTATTTGATCAAAGGGTAAAATACACTTTTAGTCCCCAAGTTTGAAGATAAGTTTCTATTTGGTCCTTATGTTTCAAAAAGTGACAGTTTGGTCCCTGACCTTTGAGAAATAGTTCTAAAAGGTCCTTAGAATTAAATTTCCATTTGTTACACTAACGGAATGCTGATGTGACATGGTAAATTGTATATTTATTATTTATAAACTATATGATAATTTTTTTTTGTATTTTTATCTCCTTTCTCTCTCTTCCTCTTCTTTGCCCCTCTCTTCCCACTCCCTTTCCAAACCGTGACCCCTTCATTTCCCTCTCTCTTCCGCCACTTCCGACTCCGATTCATCCTCTCTTATTTCTCTTCCACCTCTCGCCACCGTGAGCGGCGGCGCTATAAGGTTTTTAATTTCTTTGAGAATAGACGCGAAACAGGGGAATGAAAATTACGAGGAAGAGTATACGATGCCAACACGATGGGAGTGCCGGATCTCGGTGGCGCTAAAATGTCCACCGCAGCCGAAGAAGAAAAGCAGGAGTAATGAGAGAGGGGAAGGAGATGACCATTTGAGCCCCTGATCTTGAGGCTCTGTTTTATGTTCCTTCCAGAAGGGAAGCTTGTGTTCAGCTTTGATTTTTCTCTTTAATTTTGAGTTCTTTGTTGGAGTTCTTGAGGAATTTGGTAGTTTGGTTAGCTTGTTCTATTTGTTCTTTCCCTCTCTTCACTATCATCTTCTAACTCCACAATAAACAAGGTTTCTCTACGAGTAGAGGAAGAGAGGGGATAGAAGGGGTCACGGTCTCGACAAGAGGATGGAAGAGAGAGAAAAAAGGAGATGAATATGGAAAAGAATTTGTTTTATAATTTTAAGATAATAAATATATAATTTACCATGCCACATCAACATTCCGTTAGTGTAACTAACGGAAATTTAACTTCAGGGACCTTTTAGAACTATTTCTCAAAGGTTAGGGACCAAACTGTCACTTCTTGAAACACAGGGACCAAATAGAAACCTATCTTCAAACTGAGGGACTAAAAGTGTATTTTACCCTTGATCAAATTATGTCCCTCGAGCAGCCAAAATCTACCATAAAGAGTCTAAAATTTAGTTCCAAAAATAGAAAAAAGAAAACATATCATGTTTCCCTTTGTTACATGCATTTTCTTTTTTATTTCCAACATTCAAACCGGCTTATATGCACCTCAATGAATCTCATTGCAACAATTGTCTAACCTACAACTATTTTCTTTCGAAAACACATGATATTTAATATTATTCTAGATGGGTGACCACCATGATTTAAACCTAGGATCTCAGAAGCCACCTTCATTTGTGTCTCTTCAACCACTTAGCCAAACCAAGGTGGATTATTGAGTTGATTTTTGTTGCATCTTTCAACAAAGCTATTGAGTGGAGAATGACCTTTTTCTTTTTCTTTTTTTAATATCTCTGAGTATTCAAGCCAACTTATGCGCACCTCGACTATTTTTACAGGACAACTACCTAACCCTAATAAATTTGGTTGCCAAAGTAACTCAGGTAGGTGCCCATGGTTTGAACTCATTCTCTCTAAGCTCTTTTTACTAACTCGGTTCTTATTTTTAACACTAATTCACTCGAATAATTATTTGATAAAATATTTCTTTAGTTCTTAAAAGTAAAATCAAATGTAAGAGTAGTTCAATTCATCACCAAGGAATCTCCTGACTATTGAATAAGCTTCAATCAGTAATATTCCTTAAGCCCGACGTTTAGGAAGTTTAGGGAAAAAATATTAAGCATCAAACATCACCTTCCAAATAATAATTCTCATCATGTCAACTTGAATAAATTGTCTTAATGTAATAGCAAGGAGTATAACCGAGGTCTTCGCAATAAAGCTTTACCTAAGTTTAAGTATCAATGAACGTGCTAAATTAGGAAGCTTCAAGAATGCAAACAAAGGTCATCATCAACAATCCAGAGAAATTTTTAATGCTATATAAGATCAAGGTGGAAAGGAAGAAAAAAAGAATAGGAAAAGAGAGAGATAAGACCACCAAATCTCCAGACAACCTTCAAATGTTACACTTAAATACTCTTTTCACTTTCTACATCCTCATTATCTTTCCCTTCTATAACTGATACAGCATAAGCTTGAGCTTTACAGAGGCAGTGATTTCATAGATGGAAACAACGAAATCCTTCGACTTTATCATTGCCTCAGAAATTTAGACCTTTTATTTTATTTTCATGTCATTTTGCCAAAAACGTTGACTGAAATGAGGAACCAATCAACATATTTCAAATTAAACAGGAGGCCAACATAACATATGCAAGCTCACAAAATACAGAACCTATTATTAACAACATAGATATACATGCCAAATGAGTGTCGTGAGATCTAATATTCATTGAGAAACGAATAGTTACCGTTATTATCAATCAGCTTCCACCACAATAAGGACTTAATTGTAAACTTCAGCCTCTTCCAATATTCCTTTCCCTTCATTCAGTAAAGCCAAGCTCTCGACATAAGTATCTAAACAGAAGGAATCTTCAGCACCATAAATTCCAAGACCCTTCATAAGCTTGTTTTCTGGTTCGTACAACACTACTTCTCCTCTTTTAGATGCCATTAGCATCTCTCCATTCTCCCCAAGTCCCAACACCATTCCCAACTCCTGTGATGGATCAAGAATGATTAATCTAGTCCAAGACTCCGGCACGTTATATTTTTGCAGCACCCAAACAGAAGACACATATGTATCAAAACAATGCCAGCCACACACCATGATGGAAAGTGCTCCTCCTAACATAGCAACTTTCAAATCAGATGGTGAGTGATTAACCAGACACTCTGGCAAAGCTATTATACTGAAGCCCTCCTCAACTGTATCAAACCTCAAAATGAAACACCTATAACCTGTGCTATTTTCCCTGTAAGCAACCCAATGGACTGCCCCATTGACAAAAGCTTGCCTCCATTCTGATTGAACTATTTCACAGCGAGGAGCTTTGTTGCCAATTACTCTCCATGAACCTGTTCTAACCTCATATAACTCAACTTTAGGAGATCTTTTATAATTAAAAAGGGTCTTATCTTCGAAATATAACAATCTAACCACCTTATAATCGTTGGCACGAGAATCAAAGCCGAATCCAAGTGCATAATTGTCCGGGGCACCACAGATGGTGGTAATATCGCTGGTCCGAGGAAGAGCTACAACTCTTTGAATTGATGGATTCCACAAGAGAATGTCGAGACCTGACAAGCAAACCAATCCATTGCAAATACCCACTAACTTAAAATTCTCATTCCAATTGATGAACGGGAACTTCAATTCCAGGTATAGATCCAATGTCTGTGTATCGAAATGAAGCGAATAGCGCTCTTTCTTCGTGCTTCCGGTACCGTAACACCGCCTGAGAAGCAGGCATTTCTTGTCGAGAGTTGAAGTCCGGCTGAGGTGGGCGGCGATGAAAATTGGACTAGTGACGACAGATTGCCATGATTTTGAGACGCAAGAACAAAGTAGAAGGGTTTTGGGAGAAAGTTTCAGAAAGATGTTGAATAAAACTTCCTGTGGAAGACAGCCTGACATTGCAAAGGACCATCGAAGAAAGATTCTATGAAAAGACTTCTGTGATTGAGAAAAAAAAACCTGTAAATTTTTCGGAGGGGAATTCGAGTCGATTTTTGAGAAGATGAACCGGGACGCCGGTGGGAACGAAGAACGAGCGGCAAAACAGAGTTTTTTCTCTTTGGGGTGGGCAAAAGAACAGAGTAAAGGATATTCGGAAATCTGAACCGGCAAATTTGCAAGGGTAGTTTTGGGAAAAAGTTCTAAAATAATTTAGTTTTAAAAATAGATTACAAAAATAATGTTAATTTAAAAATAACTACAAATAAATGTAATTTAAATAAATAAATTCAAATCTAATTTAGGTTTTCAAACAAAAATAGATTGGGTCAAAATTAAAGTCAAAACTACCGTGCAATCGTGTATATTTGACGTAACGGGTGACTAGGCAGACATTGCACGCGACTTCAACCTTGTTTCTGTTTTATTTCTATTTCAATTTTTTATATTATTATTTTATTAATATTGCGAAATTTAATTAAGATGTGATTAAATTTTTTATTTTTTATTATTATATTTTAAATTTGGATTAAAATGTCATTTAAAGTCTAAAAGTTTAAATTAAAACAATTCGATGATTAAAATGTTATTTAGTTTTTGGTGCTTCATCTTCATATGCTCTATAAACTAACATTTAAATTTAATGTAAACTAAATCGATAAAAATTATTAAATTAATAAAATCATAAAAATCAAGGTAAGTTTTGTCAATTGTTTTTAAAAAATAATCATTTAAAAAAATCCTCATTCACAAGGTTTTTTTATAATAAAAATGGCTTTACTATTTCTTTGTTCTTCATTAAAAATTCATTAAAAAAACAACCGGTTTCCTTTGGAATCTTGATGATGCTACATCGCCAAATAGATGGCTTTAAAACAAAGAGATAATATCTTCGGAGGGGTGTTTTAGAAACTTATTTACATAAATGTCTAAATTTTTATAATTTTACACTTTTAGATTTCTGCTAGGATTTTAGTTTAATTCCAAATTTACCCCTACTGATTGCATGTTCATTTATTATAGTTTTTTGATTTTTTGAAATATAAAATAGTTATTTCCATAACTTAATATCACAATCATTTAATTAATGTGGACTCATGTTAATTTTCAATTCAAATTCCTTAATTCACTCCTCGAAATCGTTCAAAAAGATTGATTTTCTTTATTTACCAATATTATTAATTAAAAAAATATCAAAATCTCATCATCCCCATTTCTTCCGATTTCTGCTACTTGTAACATTTTTTTTCTTCCGATTCATGCATCTTTGTTCACTGCTACAGTGCTACGTTGCTTAATTCACCACAGTGCTTCTCTTTGTTAATATTTGATTGCTTCAATATTTCAGGTTGGTACAGTTGTCATACCCATATTTCAATACCCGTATTGGTCTGCACGCCTCTCACATTCTGCTGTTTGCACTTGTTAAAAACAAAAAAGAAGAAGTATGTTGTTTGCATGCCACTGTCATTCACAGTCTCTTATTGTGTTATTGACATCAATTTTTTCCACTGCCATTCAAGTCATAAGCAATTACATAGTTTTATGATTTCTTATGATTACAATTTATTATATATCTAGTTTTATGATTTGTTATGATTACTGCACTTCTTATTTTGTTTTTCCAAATGTGTATCTTTTTTTTTTGGTGTTGTTTATCCTTTAACAGAAGATAATTAAAGGGAGCATGTATTGATTTACGTCAATATTGAAGGAAAACACCGTTTATATATACATTGAAGGAAATATGGGTATGAATGAATTTTATTTTCTTGTTTTAAATTACAGTTTAGCTATTCATATATATGGGTATAAATTATGTTCATATTGTATGCACTTGACCATGTTAACGTTATTAAACTAATATATATCTACATAAAACATCTAAACTAATAAAGGCTCATTTCAGGGCAAACAATCCTAACTGAAAGCCAATATGAAATTCTATAAGACATGGTATAAAGTATAACATATTGAATATACAATATATCCGATATAACATAGACTGAACTTTGTGAGATATAAAATTTATCCGGATGTATTGATGTAAATCAGTAACGGTATATATCCACTAGATTCTTAACTTTAAATCACCATCAGTATATATCGAGATACATAAAACTTGAGATATAATATATATCCTACTCTAAACACTATGTATCCTCACATATACATTATTCAGAACCAACGAAATTAGAAAAATATACTTGTATAAACTCTAGCTAAAATTCTTCCAGTTAGCAAGAACAATGTAATGCTGAAAATCCTCTGTGATTACTAAAAAACCAAATACCTTTTCCATGGAAACTAGTCCGTATGCTCGGGTTATAATTCTTAAAATTTTGGTTACAATAAATGATAGATTCACTGGTATATATCAAGATACTTAAAATTAGAGATATATTATATATCCTACTCTAAACACTATATATATTATATATACTCAAATATACACTATTATAAATGATAGAACCAGATAGTAAGAGATTCTATCAAAAGTTGAAACCTAAATATAGCATAAACAATCAGAACTACATACCTCGATTTTGTCCAAAATTGAAAACCTAAATATAGCATAAACTAAGATATAATGGGAACTGACTGAAATGGTTATGCGACGAAGCCGCCAGAGACGAATGAACAGCGACGATGTTACCGTATAATGGTAACCAACGGAATGAGATGCGACGAAGGTCGACAGTGAAATGTTCTGTAAACAAAGGAGAAAAAGCCGCCGGAGACAGCGACGGGAATGATATGCGTCGGAGAAATGCGTCGAAGATTCTGTTCGGGAATGAGATGCTGCAGAGGAGAAGAAGCGGAACGGTGAAAGAAAATCGAGGGAGAAGAAGGAGGTTACGAAATTTTGGGGTTTTTAGGATTTTCAGTTTTGGAAGGTTGAACTAGCACGATTTTAAGGATTTAATATATTTTAATAATGATTTACCAATTTGATATTTTAATAATGATTTAATTTTGAGATTGATATATTAGTAATTTTTGTTATGAGTACTATCTAATTTGGGAATTATTTTAGACAAAAGTGTAAATTCTATACTTTTCCATCCTTTTACGTAATTAGGACTCCTAAATAGACCATCTATGTACTAATCCCTAAAACAAAACCCAGATTTTGGTTTGGGATTTAGAGTCCGTTTCTAACTCTGGGGTATGGATAATTAGAGTTTTTATTTTGTTTTATAATTATTTTGTTTTAAATTATTGCATTATAGGGAGATTTCCATCATGTTATAGGTAATGATCTATTTTCTAAATACGGAGAAAATTAAGATTATACAATTTAGTTTTCTTCTTACATTCTAGTTTTTTAAAATAAAATTAAAAAAAAAAAAGAACAAAGTGATATTGGTGAGCTTCCAAAATCAAAATAAAAATAAAAATAAAAAGAACAAATTCCAAATTCAAAATAAAGAAAACAAGAAAACAAACTTCACAGCCAAACAAATTCCAATTTCAAAATAAAGAGGAAAAAAAAGAACAAAAGAGTTGCAGCCTTCCGTTAGTGGCTCCACCTAGGGCCACGTCAAGGAGAAGTCGCAGTCAATGGCTGCAACTTTAGTGTAGTGGTGGGTAATGACTGCGATTTACGATGAAATCGCAACCTACGCCTATGACTTTGGTCAAATAACAGCCCAGCGATTTATCTATCCTATTTTTGTAATTACTTTGAAACCTACATTAATTTTGTCATTTATTTTTAAAAAATAATTATTTAAAGAAAAAAATTCATAGTTTTTGTTTTTGTTTGTTTTTTTTTTTATGAAAAGAAATTTTCAATGGTGGTTAACAATTGACGTGAGCAAAAATAAATATGTCAATATGAACGAAAATATGGTTAAGATTAAGAAGGTTTGTGCAATAGAATCAATCAAGGTCAAACTTGATCAAATTTGGTTGACTAAAAAGAGTTGAGTGTCGGAAAGAGCTTTGGTGTCACTTGGCAAGAAAGGACCTACACAAGAGAAGCAAATACTCCGACCGCAAGTCAATTTAAGTTCAACCTTAATATGGAGACCAAGCTAGAATGTTATACTTGATGTGTGAGTGAAGTGCTCTATTTATAGGTTGGTGAATTCAACAATGGATTCGACCAACAGTTAGGCATGTCGGGAGACATTTATCAAGTATGAACGGTCGTTCTTCCCTTAAATGATCTTCAGGGAAGACTTTCAGATGGTTTCAGGAGACTTTCTCAGTTGGTCCTTTCCCTGTTCTCTACACGACAAGACTATTTTTATCGTCCAACAAAGAATATGATAAAGTTATTAGATTTTTTTTAGTACAACATCTCGGGGAAATTTTCACATTTCTTAAATAATTTATAAATACTTAGGTCACATTTACTTATCTGCAATCGTAATGCAAATCAACCGTAATGAAAATCAATCGTAATGAAATCAATCGGAATCGTAATGTTATTCCATTGATGTTGTTTACCAGAAATTTTCTGAAATCGTAATTAGAAGTCATTTGATGTTGTTTACTAAAACTGTCTGGAATCGGAATCGGAATCAGATATATGACAATTACTAATATACAAATATATTATTGTATTAATCTTTTTTAAATTACAATAATAATACATTTTAATTTAATTTATTATTATATTATTGATAGTAAATATTTTTTATTATAACAATTTATCTAATATTAATACATAATGAATAATTAAAATAAAATAAAATTACATCAAATAAAATATTTTTTATCAGAACAACCAAACTTTAATATAACAGTTTTATTATTCTAATATTTAAAAGTAATAATATCTATTTAAAAAATTTATTAATATTAATAAATATTAATTTATCATATATATAATAAAATCACATCAACTAAATTGGAGTATAAATGAAGAAGACATTATAAAAGTATAAAAAAATCTAATTAAAAATTATATGGATCTAATCCATAGATGAGAAAGAAAGAATAAAAGTGATACATTAATTATAATATATATACAGGTCCACAGAATCAGGAATGAGAATGAGATTGAGATTGATGGGGTTGTAGGAGTGTAATGGGATTACACCTTTTTATGTAATAGGTTTACAAAGTTTGAGGTGAGTTCCACCATTTGATTACATTCTTACAATATGGTAAAC